GACTTGTTTTTTCGAGAGGTAAAGTTCTTTTTGAAAAAGTTACAAAAAATCATATTTTCTAACTTTTTTAAAAAGTCAGTTTTTTTTCTATCTAAAATCCAAAATCTTTTACTTTTTATCTTTTCCAAAAAAGATATTTGCCTCTAAAAAAACAAGTCAAACACCCTCTTAATGTTTAAATCGACTAAAATGGTATATGCGACATTTAATTAAATTTAATGGGTTAAACCTCATTAGTGAAGGCTATAATGTACTTTAATTAATTAAAATATATCAAAAGCGATATTGTGAAAATTGAGGTGGCAAACTAGGAAATGTGATTGTAACACGATCAACTATTGTAATTTATCCGATTTGGTTACTAAAGTATATTTTTTTTCTTTGCACAATAGGTCATTAAACTTAAAATTTACATGTCTATTAAATCATTTTCGTTAGTTTTTAACAAATCATCCGTTAACCAGTTAATCTAAATTACACAAATGATCCCTATGACTTTTTTTTGCGCAATAAGTTAGTTGGTCTCTACTCTCCTCCGTTTGTCACTAGTGATGATGCCTCATCTCTTACGCCAGTGGCATAATAATTCTGTACTGGATTTGTCATGGAACCACTTGACCGGTTCAATTCCGGCTTATCTCAGTGATATTAAGTCTCTTTTTAACTTGTATTTATTAAACAACTAGATGTGACACACATGTATTATATGGGTTTATTTTAAAGAAAAATTAAATACAAAATTCTAAACATTTGAGAAGAACGAATTTCTAAGAAAAGTGATAAAATATTGATTTATAAAAATTAAAATGTTTTTTTTTCTTTTTTAAATTTAAACAAATAATTTAGATAAATAAATAAAGAAAATTAATGAATCTTTAATTTATTAATTTTAAAATTAAAAGAAAAGTTCATTAATGAAATTGATATATATATATATATATATATATATTATATATATATATATATATATATATATATATATTATTGCATTTAAATACTATCTAGAATTTAAGACATGTGGAATAAACATTAATTTAAAATAACTACAAAATTAAATGTGACAAAATAAATGAAAATGTGACATATGGCAAATAGATCTTTATCTATTAGCGAGAATTCTTTTTTCTTGAGAGATTCCTAAATCTCTTACACATACACAATTAGAGAGTTTGATTTCACGAGGTATCTCATTAGAAGAACCCTCACCAGATTTCTCATTCTTCAAAAGAAGAAACATGCGTGTTAGACGATCAGCGATGCAGTACAATCAGATCATGAGCTTTCCACCGGCATGAACCTCTTCTCCGGTGAAATCCCACCAGAATTTTGCAACTTGAAAAAACTACATATTTTGAATTTAAAACTCAAACAATTTATCATGTATGATTCCTAGTTCTTTATCAGGAATGATAATTGTGGAGACGCTTGATTTGTCATACAATAATCTCACTGGAATAATCCCTCCGTCTTTGGTGAATCTAATTTTTTTTATCCAAATTCAGTGTCGCTCACAATAATATGAGGGGTTTAGTCCCTAATGAAGGTCATTTTTTAATGTTTTCAAGCTTAAGCTTCAAGGGAAATCCCAGTTTATGTGTTGATGGACGCATAGTTTACCCTTGTGAAACCAGAACAATCCCTGTATCATCGATTAAAAAATCAAAGAAAATATAGAAAAAATTGTTGGTATGGCTATGGAAAAAGGGGAGAGTGAAGTGATTGATTCGTTTATTTTTAATACAGATCAGGATAAAGATATGTTATTGGCTTTTGAGATTACATGTGTTTGTTTAAATGAATCACCAAAGTTAAGGCCTTCGACTCAGGAGCTTCTTTCTTGGCTCGTTAATCTTCAACACAAAACATTGTAATAAAATAATATGTTCGGGTGTAAATATCTTGCATTCGAATTCGAGTAAAGTTTTAAAGATATTATTTTCATTGTTGTTACTTTGTTAGTTTGTTATTGGTGTCGATTTCTGTTTTTGGGTTGTGGGATTTGATCTCCAGTGTAGCGGATCAATTAGAAGGGACGGTTTTTCTTTCAAATGTGATTCCAAAGGTAGTAGAGAGGAGAGACGGGCAGAACTGACTTATTGCGCAAAATATCATAAGGACCATTCGTGTAATTTAGAATAACCTGTTGACGGAGGATTTGTTAAAAACTACTAACCAAAGTGATTTAATTGATAAGTAAGTTGTGAGTTTAATGACCTATTGCGTAAGAAAATTATTTTAGTGACCAAATCAGGTAAATGACAATAGTTGATTGTGCTACAGTGAAATTTTCTCAATTGGAATTTAAGAAAGTTGTATTTAATAAAAAAAAATTAAGGATTTTAGCTAGATTGTGAACAAAGAAAGTAAGTTGAGGGGGAATGCAAGTAAATTAATGAATGACTTGAGTTACAAACTTATGTATGCACTAAGGCTACTGGGGTTTGGTAACCATACAAAGACCATAATAAGTTGTATATTAAAAACATATATAATGATGAATTTAATGAGCTAGTTGAATGATCTCACAAATATATTTGTCTTTCAATACATTAAATTCTATCATTGTGATATGTAACCTAGCATTTAATGCATTTGAAGTTAAATGGTCATTAACTCTTTAATGAGAAAAAATGTTTTCTAATTTTTAAATATATACCATACATTAGTTTTTTAATGTTCTATTAAACTTTGAGTTTATGAAAAATTTGGTGTAGATTCATTCCTTTACTTGTTATGAAACCTTACATATAGCTTCCTTTGAGTTACTCCAATGCAAGCCTTTCAAGCTTCAAAATCACCATTTCTCTCCTCTTTGCTCTCTCAAATTGTTCCAACTTTTGAAGTGAGGAGAATATAAGCCTAAAGTCGTATTTATAGTTAGACCTAGCAACGAAGCGGTTTACGACCCTAATCTGCTCCAAATCGTGCAAAGTTAATGGGTCTGGATCATATTTTATGATTCGTTTATCCGTTAACGACCTGTACCCGTTAACATTTTTACTAAAAGAGTCGGGTATGGATCACTATTGATTCGGTCCGTTTAGACCCCCCTCATCTAAAATTTTAAAATATAAATTTATTATTTATAAGTCATACTTTTATCACCGATACATTTTCTATTTATTATTTATAAATTATAAAATTATCACCTTCGAAAATTTTAAAATATAACTTTATTATTTATAAGTTATACATTCATACGGAACAAGCCCTTTATGAAATCATTTAGTAAGATTTAATATTAAAAAAAATACATATATTGTTGAGTATATGATATCCACAAAGAAAAATACCATTGATGATTCGGTTTTATTTGAAAATTTCAAGCTCAACGAAGAAATTGGTAGACATTTGTTTTGTTTTAGAAACATTATTTATTAAGCTATTATTGAAGTTTGTTTTTTGAATGAATGTTATCTGTTTTTAATGAATCGATTCATGTTATATGTGTTGTAATGTATAAGTATAGTCTAATATTAATACTGCAAATGGATCGGGTAAAATGATTGAAAATTTATTAATCCGGTAAATAAGGGTATGTGTTTAATTATTCAAAACTCAGTAGCTACGAGTTGAGTTTGAATCAACATTTAAAAATTATTTAACGAGTTTGGATAAGTCGATCCGCTCCAAGCTCCATTTTATAGTTTCCTCTTTACACTTAAGCCACTAGCTTTCTAATTTTTATCAAAGGACCACCATCTAACCATTTAACTTATGAACATTTGCACTTTAGTCCTTCCCATTTTCCCATGTATCTTCTCAAGTCCAAGTCATATAATTACGAGTCAAACTCCAAGTCAAACCATCGTTAACTAATTTGACACTTTTAACCTTCATATTAAAATCTTTTCATCACTCATTTAGCATAACTGATATTTATATTATTTAATTTTTTTCAATTTTCAATTTTCAAATTTAAATTATTATTATTATTATTATTATTATTATTATTATTATATATATATATATTTTAATAGAAAAAATAGTTTTATTCTCTTTTTACCATTTGTCATATTATTATGTCTCCTAATTAATGCATGCTACTTATCAACTCCATTTCAAATTCCAAATTTTAAATTTCTCACTTTAATTAGATTAAATTAATAACATTAGAATAAAAATTAAAATAAAATTAATACAAACTATAGAATATAATTTCACATATTTATTTTAATCAATGATTAAAATTTATATAACTAAAAAATCTCTTAATTAATAATTTATTTAAAATAATTAATTAAAATTTTTGATATTTTACTATAAAAAATCAATTAATTTTGTAACCGTGGTTCCCACGGGTTATAAACTTTTATATATATATATATATATATATATATATATATATATATGAGCTATGTTTAATGCATTTAAAGATAAAAAGGTGTTTATAACGTTTGGAATTAAGATTTTACAAATAAATATAAACCCTTATTTTCTGTGGTTTTTATCCGTTTGGAAAATCTATAAATAAAGTATTGTTCTTAACGTAAAAGGATATATCCCCTTAAGATATATGGGTATTTTGACGACCGGAAACCCTTCTAAGGAAATTTTGAAGTTGGAGATCACGTTTTGAGCAAGAGTTTGAAGCATCAAAAATGGAATCATTAGGCTATCATTCGGTTTGCTTAATCATTATGTTAACATATTATTTATGATTATTCTCTTGTTGTAATTATGGGGCTAAACGGCCTTTGATTTTTTTAGATAGATAAACTCTAATGTTAATTGAATATTAGAAATTGTTTAATTTATTATGCGTGTTTAATCAAAGATCCATATGTATTAAAGTCTGTATCTGTATGATGTATTTTGTTAAGTTAATGTAGTCTAAAACACCAATCTAATTGTGTTTGCCTGCATACAAAAAATAAATCCACTTAGTATTCATATTTTAAAGTTCTGTCAATTTCTTCTAATATCACAATATATATATATATATATATATATATATATATATATATATATATATATATATATATATATATATATATATGTTTCTTTTTCAGTTTTTTGCATAATAAATACCACATGTTAAACAATTTAATCTACTAAACTCCCATTCCATCGATCAATCCTTTCTTTAAAATCTACCCATTCTATTAACCAACAATCATATCCTTCTACAGAAAACAAGAATCCCACTTCTTTCCAACGCTATAAACAATCTCCATTTTCTCAACTCCATAAATTATAACATATAATTCAAATCACACCTTTCCCACTTCCAAGTGTAAGCTCCAAATCCTCTGATCCAACTTCATGAATCCTCTCACCTTCCCACGCCTTCAAAGTACTACTCTCAAACTCAAACTCACACCCACCACCATTCTGCACCACCATTCCATTTTGGAAAAACGGTTGTTGACTTGAAGTTTTCACAAGGTTGAAAGTTGGTGAAGGTGGTGCCACCGATGCCGCCATGGTCTGAAAGCTCACCCACCTGCCGGAATCCACCGTGGAAGCATCCGATTCGTCACATTCCGGGATGGTCGCCGGAGGAACGCGGTGGCGGCGGGTGGGGCTGGTCGGAGCAGAGGCGGCGAAGAGAGGGTGGCGGAAGGATTGTAATGCGGTGGTTGATAGCATTTCCCAGTCGGGTTTTCGCTTTGTTCCACGGGATGTTGGGGAGGAGAGAGGTGGGGTGACAGGGGCACTATTGGAAATTCTGAGAGGGGGGAGGGAGGATAAGTTGCAGAGGTAAGGGAGAATGTAGGATGAATGGTGAGGTGGTGGAGGGTTTTCATGGCGAGATGGACTTGGGAATGATGATGATGTGGGGCTAGCATGGTATGATGGTGCAGGACTTGGGAATGATGATGACATTGGGCTTGGTTGGATTGATGAACATGTGCTTATGTTTGTTGACATCACTGCCATTTCATTTGGAGATGGCTTACATCCCTGTAATCAAACAAGATTTTACAGATTTAGGGTTCTCTAATTCGAATTGAAAATTCAAAATTGCATCTTAATTCTGTAAGACTGTAAATAGATCCTAAACAGGAAGCAGTTTTGATATGTTCTTCAAAGTTGCAATAAGCCCCAAACCCTAGAACGAGATTTGAAGTGAATCTAAGTCTGGAAGTCAACTCATCCCCCAATCTTATCCTTGTTCTAACGTAATATCAAACAAATTTTGAAATAATTAACCAGGGAAGTGATTTCGATAACGAAATCATCCTTAGAACGAATGAAAACATCTAGCATTCAACGCTGAGAAAGGGGATTTAGAAGTGAGTAGATCTAGGAAAAACCCTAATTACGAAACAGACGAAATTGGAATTTGGAGAAACAGACCTTGGGATAAGTGGTGCCGTCTTCTTCAACGACCCAGCCAGCTTCAGCGCAGAGTGCTTTCAAGACCTCGTTATTGTCACAGTGTTTTGGAAGACGATAGTTCCCCTGAGATCGAAGTCCGGCGTAGATCTTTGCGGCGATGGCTCTTCTTCTCCTCTCTCGTCTCTTGTTGTTCTCTCTCTCCTTCCACGACGGGAGCCGTCCAGAAGAACCGCCGCCGGTCATTTCTTTGATTGCTCCGGCGACTTTCTCTTTTCGCGTGTGCAACTTTTTGTTATGTGTGGATTCACGAGGACTTGGAGTTCCTTTTGATCCAATTCGTCGACCTCAGATTGGTCAAGTGTATATTACTCTGAGCTTTTAGAATATTATACTTACACCCCTAACTTATGCCGAAACTGTTAATATGCCCTCCAAGTTTCTTTAAAGAGCTATTCAATTAAATTACCACATATGTAAGTCATTTATATAAAAAATAACATAATCTTTGGTGAAATTGATTTTACTTCATGAAAAAAAAAATGCGATTTGTTTAAATGTTTCTAGCACGTTTAATTTTTTTGTGAAGGGATGATATTTAGAGTGAGAAGGAAAAGAAAGCCAAAAAGTAAAGAATAAAATCATGTTTGGCATAGTTGAAAGGTTAATTATGGTTGATAAGCTAATTTATGATTTAATAGTCTTCGGTACTTCGTAAAAAGTAGTTTATAAGTTGGATTGCAATGAAAATGACATAAATAGACATTTAGATATATAATCAAAGGAAAAAATAACAAATATAATCAAGGATATATCTAGAATATTTTAAAAAAAATCCTATAAAATTTATCAAAACTTATCTCAAAGTAGTTATCAAAAGTTAACTTATAATCTATTTTATAAGTTAAAATAAGTTATCTTGCATTATTATCAAACGGTAAATTACAATAAGTTAGTTTTCTTTTTCTTTTTGAGAGTCTTGCTTAAGAGGAAAAAAAAATGTAAGCAAAACTAATGGAGCTTGTCTATTCTACATTTGTTCTCATATTTACCTTTTAGTATCCACTCAATGACATTTTGTATGAAAGAATAATATGTCTTCTATAAACAATATTTTTTATCTATTTTATGTGTACATTTTATCTAAAATTTGCATGGTTATTTTATTTCGTGGAATTTTGATGAACAAAATTCATAAAGTTTAATATTCTCAAAACATGTATTTGCAAACATTTTAGCAAACTAATTAGTTGATATTTTGTGTTAAATGTTAAAAATATTATCACTTTATATTATAACATTATCTTTTATGGCATTTTTTCTCTTTTCTTTCTCATGAAAGAGATGCTAAACATAAAGTCATAAACACACTTCAAGCTGTTAATGCAATAACTTATGGTTTTGTACCTACAACTGTAGGTTAGGTTATTGTATATGGACTTATCTGTAATTAAATGAAACTAAAGGCGCTTACTTGCCTCCGTTATCTGAGGGAGGTGCTGACGTGGAGCTGTTAACCTCGAACCAAACAGCATCACGTGTGGACAAAGGAATGGGGCTGGGATTGTGTGCAGTTGTCGTGGGGACCATCACAGACACATCACACGCTTCTTACTTGAAGTGGGCCCCGTGGGACCCGCTTTCGACAAGGACACGTGCACTGGAATAGCTGTAACACGAGTGGAGTCATTGTACCTAGGAATTAATACTTTTTTTTTCTCTTTTTAAATAGTTAAAATAGTTGATCACAATGTTAAGAAAACTATTGGATAATTATTGAAATATTAATGAATGTTATTCACGTATAAAATATAAAAACATAATTTTCTGTTTTAATTGTATCTATTTTTGTGAGTTATTTCAAAAATCTTGAATTTTGCACGAAGATATGGTAAAAAAAAAAACATACAAATACATTGAAACAGTCTTCAACAAAATGTTTAAAACAAATGTATCTTTTACTGAATGTTTGTTTTACATTATACAACAATTAAACAGTTTTTTGAGGCCGTCAAACCAATCTAGGCTTGAACGTTACATTGAAAATAGCAAGAAAATGTAACCGTAGATGGAAGAGGAAAGCGATCTATCAGATTTTCAGTGTCACAACAATGTTTGTGTAGAGATTATAATAAAGCACAATGATTGATATTGAAATTGATATTTGAGTTTATATTTAATATGGTTTAAAAATAAAAATTGTATTAAAATTTCAATTAAGAAAAAAAAAGCTCTATAAATAATCTAAATTTTTCTAGTTGAATGATGGTGCATTTGTTAATGGAAACCAATTTGGTTTGCATTTGCACCCACTTATTCTTGCACAAGAGAAAGTGTTGGTGGTATCTTATAACCCGTTGAAATCTTTCCACAAGCACATCATATTTTCTCTTTGCTAATATATGATGGTTTAAAAGTCATTTAACTTCTTCAGGGTCCCTTCAACAAATATATCTTGGTAATTAATATCTCATTCATCTTTTCTTTTCTGGAACTACAACATGTTAATGATTTTTGTATCATCATGTCATTTTATGTAATTAGAACTTATATGTGAACTAAGAGGCTTCATAATTTGTATTCTAATATTTATACATGTATGTGTGGAATGCACGCATGTATAAGATCGAATTAGAAGCTGGTTCAACGACAAGTCGGAGGTCCAAGGACGGCGCCCCTGGGTCTGGGGTTTCCAAAGAGGCAGCGCCCCTTTGGCGGGGTCTAGGAGCAGCCCCCCTAGGGGGGTATAAGGGGCAAAGCCCCTGGCTAGGGTCCCGCTGACGACTTCCAAAGCAACCCATGACGACCAACCCTAAGAGGCAAACCACAAATCTCGTTTATTATATAAATGACTCTTCTCTTTGAGAAGAGATACACAACCATTTGTTATCTTTTCTTCAGACGAACATAGAATCCTTCTAGCAATTTGGCTTACAATGTCTGTGCCTAGATTCGTAAGTGTCCTCTTGGATTATCTATTGAATTAGGTGTCTAAGTCCATCACTATAATTGGTATGTACTTGAATTGAAAGCAACCCAGTCCTTTTGGGTTGCCCTCAAACCTAGCAACTGGACAAGGAAATTATAAAAAGAGAGAGATTAAATTATAATAAGATTAATATAAATGATTTATTAATATGTTATGAGATTAATATATTAATAAGAAATCATAATGTTTGATTAATAGTTAGCCATAAATTAACTGGAACTGATTTTGGGGCTAATTGTATTAATTAAGAAGTACATGGACTAGTTTGTAATTACTAAATAGTTAGATGGAAGGTTCTAGAACCTCCTTGAAGGAGTTGGATGAAATTTTTACGGGAAACCCTGATAATTTCATCCAAGGGCTTTAGATAAGTCCTATGGTTAGCTTGGGCCTTAACCAAAGAAACATTAGGGTTTTCCCTTAAACCCTAGTTGTCTCAACTATATAAGGAGCCTCCTGGCTCCTGAATTTCATCTATCCCTACACCTAGAAAACCCTGGATGAAAATTGCATACTTTCTCTTCCTCTATCTCTCTATACTTTCCTTCTTGTTAGTTCTTGGATGTGATTCCATCAGAGGCACGACAATTGTGGTGCTAGGCTTCCAAGAAGATCAAGGTCTAAGGATAACCAATTATTTATATAACAATTAAAAGGTATGTGATTTGCATTAGAGGCACGACAATTGTGGTGCTAGGCTTCCAAGAAGATCAAGGTCTAAGTGATGGTTATAAAGTAAAGAACATCCTATGTGCTCATGCAAAACCCTAAAGCTTAGATATAGGCTTCTCTATTGTACATGTAATTAATCCAAGACGTATAACCCTAGATCTAGCATGTATAATTCGAAATTAACATCATAAGAATAGATCTAAGTGTTTATCTCTTTCACTTGGCTTGAAATCCATTGCATCTTCTTGATCTTGAGCTTAGAGTCACAATTGTAACTCCTCTAATGGTTCCCAAACACCACAAGCAAGAAGGCTATTATGAGAGAGGAGGAAGAACACTAAAAATCGGCCCTAGGTTTTTCCTTGGAGTCAAGCATCCGAAAATCGCATCCAAGGGCCTTTATTTATAATGTAGGTTGCTAGGGTTTCAGTCTAAACCCTAATGGACAGGTTAGTCACCAAGCATCCCATGGAATCTTCTAGATTAGGGCCTTTAGATGAAAATATGATGGATCCCCATCATAATTTCGTTCCCCCTTAGTCCATTAGGTTTCCCAGCCCAAAACTCAACTATAACACATTTGACAGTTTATGCCTTTATTCAATTAATCTCATTTAGTCACCAAATTAATTTCTAATTAATTTATGACTAATATTAATCAAATAATATGATTTCTCCTTTAATATATTATTCTTATAAGATATTAATAAACCTTAATATATTCTCTCTCTCTCTCTTTCTCTCTCTTAAATAACCTTGTCAAGTTGTTTTGATGAAGGCAACCCAAAAGGACCATACACAACCGGATCAAGTACATACCAAATGTAGTTATGAGCTTAGACACTAATCCAACACTAAGGATAACCAATTATTTACTATAACAATTGAAAGGTATGTGATTATAAAACCCTAATTAGTTATTTTCAAAAATAGCCTCTTCCTTTAGGGTTCTTGTTTTGCAATTCAAAGTTATATGTTCAATAGTTAAAACATAGATCCAAAGGATGTTGCATGTGAATTTAGTAATTGATTTTCTAGTTTATTTGTTTTACCTAAAACCCATCATCATCCTAGGTTGAATTTCTTGCAACCTAGGCATAAGGTAGAAATATCAGTTTGGAAAGTGTTCACACGATCCAAGGGGTATCCAGATCTCCAACACAAACCCTATTTCATCCTACACAATATATTAAAAACAGAAGCTAGTTAGACTAGCGAAAACCAAAAAAACAAATTAACGCATAATTGGATTTTACGTCAACACATTCCAATTTTTTTCTAGCCTTTGGGTTTCTAAAAACAACGCAATTAAAAGAAAAGGCAACAATCTTATCAAAGATGTAATGTTTAATGTAATGTTTATGATACTTGGCTTACGAAAAAGCAACACATTCTCGTATGTCCAAAGAACCCAAAAAAAGGTATTAGCGTCTTTCAGGTCCTCTCTTCAAACTGGGCACAAAAGAGAGTCAAGATCAATACCTCTTATATCAAGATTCACATGTGTAGGAATGCAATCTAACATAAAACCATCCAAATAAAGACATAATCTTTATTGGAATCGATTTATTCCATCAAGTAACATGATTAGATACGGGATGATGATTATTATCAATATGGAATCTGAAAGATTGTATAGTCCTCTAGAAGGTTTTTGCTTCCACCCCAATC